ATGCTTCGCCTCATCTGTTGCGTTGGTTCGCACTAGCATGGCTTCCAGTGCCGCGATAAATTCGGCTGGCCTAGCATCTGTCGTATTAAAGTTGGTTTCATGGCGCAGCACGCTTAGTTCTTGTTCAGTCAACTGCCTAGACGATAGATTGTGTACCACGTGTTCGTTTGTTTTTGATTCCAGCTTTAATTTTACGAACTTCTGGTCTAAGCTCTTGCGTTTTTGTTCCTGTCTCGCCTTTGCCAGATTCGATATTATTCGTTCGAGGGAATCGGCACCAGGTCCACCAAACCGTGTCGTGCATTCTTCCTTACTTCGTTCAATAACAGACCGGTACTTGCGAAGGCGTAGGCGGCAGTCGTTGATCAATACACGTGTAATTTGCCTGCAAAAACGCTGCATCACATTTCTGGCCAATTTAGTATTCACTGGAGTTCTGTATCGTAGATAAAAGTTTTGAGTGGGTTCACCCACACGTCTGAGGCCTTCAGGTCAGCCACTTCTTCTTCAAAATATCGAACGGAGACACCAGGAATATAATTTATGGTCGGCTGTATTCAGTGAACACTGGGTTGGATGGGTGATGAACTTAAAAAGACCAGTTTGCCCACAGAATTCATCAAAACGTTCTTTGAACGAGAGTGCAAGAGGGAAAGTGTAGTGGTCAAGGATGTGTGATCTACTATAACCACTACACTAAGACTAGTCTGACTAGGACTAACTGATGCTGGCATGTAAATCGAAAATGAACTTTTCAGTTCACTATGATTTGGCCAGTACTACCATTTTCAATTCACAGTGAAGCCCACCCCCTTGTCATTTTTGTCTTCCATCTCCTCGCAGCTATGTAGATTTTAAAAGCGTTTTTGGGGAAAGCCCCCAAAACAGTGATGCCATTTCTGTAAGGTGGGTAGATTAGGCACTACAGCTGAGCCATCCTCATTATGAAGCAACTTGCATTCAAGGATCTCGCTAACGAGTTTTCTTCTAGTGCTCTTGGTAAGTCATCAGATTCGAACTAATGTACAACAGGGCTCTGCAGTCCTCAATGCATGCCTCGATCTTTCTTGTAGACGCGACGTCCACCGAGATAACGCCGGCATCTTCGGAGGCTAATTCTTTGAATGAATTGACCATAAAAGCGACGGAAGATTGGGTGAGTTTGGTCTGTTCCTTCCCAGCCCGTCTCACTAGGAGGACGGAATCAATCGTTTAACGTCCGCGGAATGTGTACCAACTGCCTCCTACTGAACAATCGCATAGAAGCCTGTCAGCTGTGGGGACTATTCAGTACTCCCAACGAAGGCAAATTCTAGTCCGAGCCTGATGAATTGCAAAAAAATTCTGTGCACAACAGCTTCACAGCTACAGTAGATTCCCTATCTCATGAAATGTCGAACGAAATTTTGAAATGTGTTTTCGAATTAAATCAAGTATTTATCGTACAGTGATTATCGTACAGCCACATCCCACAATAATTCAATCAGGTAGGAATGCCGGCTTTTAAAGAGTTCCTTACTGACAGCCTATGAACTGTATACGTTGTAAACATGAATACTTAAGTCGTATGCTTTTCTCTCATTCATTTTCGCTGGCCTTATAACTTCAAATATACTTTATAGAAAAAATGCACAAAAATATTTTTTACTGCTTTGATAGCAGATTACGCCTACTTCAAAGGATATACGTGAAAAAAGGGTATCATTTAGCTTTAAACTTCTTCATTATGATATTTTTTAGGACCGTCAACAGTTTTATCGTAGTATACCAAATCTGTCAGTTTATTTACCCTGCCTAAAACATTTACAACGTAATCCACACCCATTACAGAATTTTGGGATAAAAATTTAACTTCTTCCTCATAGCAAAGGAAAAATTGTGCTTTTTCGTAGACGGATTGTATACAGTATGCAGTTTAGAAACCTTGAAAGCAAGAGGAGCAGTTGATAGGATTCAAAATATTTCGTCACTTTAGAAACATTTTAAAAGTGAAAGATAAGTTTTATTCAAGTAGTGAATTCGGAGAAACGTCTAATTTGTTGCTTTACAAATAAAATAAATAGTTATGTATTTGACTTTATAAGTCATCAAAAATCCATAAGAAAAATGTAAATTAATTAGATGGCTATTTTTTTACAGATTATATGTATTCCGCAGAGCGTCAACAAGACGCTCTTTCAATGTCGGCTATCCTGACATGACTGAAATATCCTGGGAGTAGACTGTACGATAATCAAGTACTTTGTTCAAATCGAAAACACACCTTATAAATTTGTTTGACATTTTATTATATATGGAATCTATTATACGTGGGATACTGTTGAATCAATATTGTGGCAACAGTTGTACTCGCATGTCATTGTAGCCTATAAGGCGTACTGCGGCCTTGACTACAGATTCCTCGCGTTCTAACCGCCAGAAATAATTCATTGCTCACAATCTTTGCACCGCGAGGATGCTGATATCCACCAATGTTGCCTGGACAATCGCTTGTTAGCCACCTTCACCACGTGACCGCCGCAGCCCACAACAAAATGGCAACGATGGGCAAGCCCCTTGCTACCGGAACCACTTTGTTTAAAATCCTCTTCTCCCCTTTATTCTGCCTCCCACAAATTCCAATGAACTACTCCGCACAAAAGTGCAACCAGAAGAATAGCCCTGAGTATCCTCAGTTTCGTGTTCTGCGAGTGCCGTAGCTAGTCCAGACAAGGCTTGTAACATGCGCAACGGCTGGCAGATCAGACTTGCGGTTTCATCACCAATCTTGTTGTTTCTTAAAACCATGCTTTTCTGCTGAGCAAATTTGCCTGCAGACGGGGACTGGGGGGAGGCAGGTACCAGTACCATCTACGGTGAGTTTCCTGTATTGGTCAGATAGTTCTGGTTGAACCAAAAGCGATCAGCGTTTTTCATTCGGCACCCTGGTTGGCTAGCGTATTTCAAGTAAATGCCTCTCTGTGTGGCGGTGTCTGACTAGTAGGACATTTTAGAACCTAAATTTCACGTTCACTCTCTCATTCTCTTTCTTTTTACCATCTAGTACAATTCAAGGCTTACCAACTATCGGTGGAGATGGGAAAAAATCAACTGCTTCCTTGATTACCTCTGCAAACAGTTACCTGATATTACAGAAAGTTTGGTTGTGAGTTTGCTGACTTGTTTCCTGTAGACTTTGTGCTCCGCACGCCTTCTATCGCCTTACGTTCTCTGCTTTCACAACGATGCCTGACTTAGGGAAAAAAGGTCTCTCAATAGGTCTGTATTGCATTTAAAAGATGCAGTCTTCCCTTCGTTATTATAGATCTCTTAGACCTCACTCCAATGGCTTTACTTGGCATAAATGATTGAGATTATTTTCAAGGGGTTCTTTTTTATTATGTAGCATACGATTTGCGACTGGTTACTGGGGCTCACCCGTCGACTTTTGAAGCGGTGGACAAGTCAAAGAACCCACTGAACCGACCAAAATAACATTTACGTGTGTTCCTCGTGTTATTATCAGTTTACATCCAAAATGAGCCTTTTGTCTGAATGAGTTGACGTTTGAGAGGCATGTGACACTGTATTATGTGTGCCCCTTAAAAGGATGGATGCCTTGGACCAATAGGAAGCCAGATTAGGGCATTGCTGGCGTTATTTTGGTTGTGTTGCCATAACAAATGCCTAACATGGCGGGGAAGGGGGGGTTGGGACTATTGGTCCGCGTAGGCGCAGGCACACGCAGCGCCGGGCCCCGCCACCGGCCTTCTTGACTCTGTCTTGACACCAGACTCGGGCGAGTGTAGGTAGAGAGAGTGCGGTAGGTGCGGCGCAAGTCCACCATCTTTTAAAACTAATTCAGGCGTTAGCTACCACCATTGCACCACTTTGCTGTGACAAACACGGTGGCCAGCGTCGAACTCAACAGTCCAGCTGTTGTCTGCGGCACGTGCAGATGAGCCATTTAATTTTGCCAGTCCATGCGTCTGCGTTCATCACTGATCGTTTTGACTTTATTACACCTTTGTCACCGAAATCCAACCCTCGA